CCCGCCGCCCTGCGCGCCAGGCCTGCAGTCCTTCCGCTGCGCCGCGCTGGACGGCCACATCTACTGCGTGAGCCGCGCGGGCACTTGGCGCTTCGTGCACCCGCGCGACAGCGAGTCCGTCGGCCACTTCGAGCCTGAGCCCCTTGCGGGAGCCCTGGACGGGCGCGGTGTGCTGGTCCCCTTTGTCCTCAACCTGCCTGAGCAGCCGCCGGACCCTGGGGAGCAGGGTGCTGCCTAGGGTGGGCAGCTAGAAGAGGGCCCGGGGGCTGGGGTCTCCGGCGGGAATGGGGGGCGGAGCAGAGGGGGAGAGAGTGGGGAGGGCTGCCGCCTCTGGCGTAGACGTGCTTTGAGGGTACATGCTTCGCGGGCCACGCTGCTGTAAGCACCCCTGCCTCCCACTGCTGCACTCCCTCTGCTTCCATTGCTTCTTGGGGCCAGGGGTGCAGGGTGGGGGGTGTGTGCAGATAGCCCGGCACACCGGGCGGCATGCCTACATGAGGAGGGAGGGGTCACACACGGGCTTGGGTACACCGAGGGGTGCAGGTGCACTCTGGCCTGCTCTCCTGTGTGATGAGAAGAGGCTGCCAGGCCTGCCCCTGGAGCTCCCCTCGCCGGGAGGAGCAGCAGTGCCTGCACAGGGAGGTTGGTCACCATTCTGGCTTTTTGTTTTGCTTTTGGCTTGAGATGATGAGTTCTGTGATTTTGTGAAGAGCTCTTGCTGCTGTGTGCTCAAGTGTGAGGGCTCAGCCCCTTTCCGGAGGACAATTGACAGGTGCTTGTGTTTAGGTCCTTGGTCACCAGGGGATGGTAGTGCAGGCGCAGTTTGCACCCACTTCGGAGTTGTGTGCTAGGTGTCCTGCGATTCTGATGGCGGCTGGAGTCTGAACTCGGTCGGCTTGCTTGCCCTGAGCGCGAGGACTGCTGGAGGTGAAGGCATTGAGGGCACAGTGAGATGGAGCCACGCAGACTTGAGCGTGGGTTGCTTGTTACCCTAGTGGCGGGCACTGGTAATTGGGAAGTAAGATGTGCTTTCTAAACAGTTTATGGTTGTGAAAGGCCTCTGCTAAGTGTGTTTAGAAATGGTCAGCTTGACTCATGCATCACCCGGGGTGGAATTTGTGGTTTCGGTCAGTGTTTTCTGGGGGCTTGTAGGCTTGCTTATGATCACTCGTGAACCAGGAAGACAGGCTGGCTGCCTGGCGAATCCTCTTAGTAAGGATAAACAGGCTTCGTCTGCCTGACTTTATCGTCCTGTTACAGGAGTGTGCTGGAGAAATAGGAGTAGAGGAATCCTGATAGCAAAAGGCGACAGATAGTGCTGTCTTAAGGAAAAGTATATTTTATACTGTACATTTCCTGTAGAATTTTATTACTGATGCTAAAAGTGTTTTTATATGAAACGGATCCAGACTAATATTTTCTTTCCTTAAATATCAGGTCCATGCAGTGCTATTCCTGGGGCTTTCCTCGAGAAGTCCTGGGATATTCACTACTGGGACGGTGGCCCAGGGGAGGCAGAGGGCTGGCGCTGGCACAGCGGCATGCTGGTGACGTTTCTGCCTGTCAACTGTCACTTATCCGAGAGGCACAGCTCCTGCGGCACACACTAGAACCCCAGGGACTCCTGCGGATGAGAAATCTGAGGGGTAGTGGGGGGATTACCATTGTGAAAACAGGTGGGATATTACATGCCGTTTTTCTAGATAGTAACAGGCTCATAAAAACAAGAGCTAGAGCCCCACAGCACCACTTGTTTTTGTTTGGGGCCAGTCCCTGGGTGTGGAGCAAGGTTTGCGCTTGTCAAACTGCCGGATAAGCCACATCCACCCTTGTCCTGATCCAGGGGCCCTAGGGGAGGTGGCACTGCTGAGACACGCCTCCCAGTGTCCAGCCCTGTCCAGGGACAGTGGGAGTGGACATCCTTCTGGCTGCCAGACAGAGTGCAGAGGGCCGGTGCATGTGTGTCACCCCGTGCAGCCCTTGTAAAGAACCTGGTGCCCTGGCATCTGACATCTCGAAGGGCAGAGCCATTCTCGGAGAGCATGTGCCGCAGCTGAAGCTCGAGCTTCCGGGTTAGTTGACAAGCAGTGACTACACTGTCAGCCAGGGATCCCCTGCCACCCAAAGGAAGGAGCTTTGTGCTTCTTTTTTCTGGTCTGTGGTCCTGCTCTGTCGTGGGACCCTCACCCTGCAGCTCTGGTTCTGACTTGATTTCTGCAGCTGTAGTGGCCCTTCTCTCTTTCTTTGCCTTTAGGAGAATGAAGCAGGCTGTGGAAATTCATTTGCAACTTAGTAAAACTCTTATCAGTTCTACTGCATACACTCAGCAAGAAGCGAGTCATCTGCTCCCCTCTGTTTGTCTCTGTTGTGCTTTAGTGATTCTGCTCTCAGGAAACTTCCTGTGAAATGAGGAAGCTGGGTGTCTTTGAGGCTCTCTGCTTTGCCCTGAGGTCAAGGTACATGACAACACCATCACTTGTAGCCCCAAGGCCAGTGGGAGCCAGAGCGCCCTTCTGGCTGTGCTTTGTTTAGATGTTTTCCTTAGCTTACAGAAGGTTTTATTTTGAAGTTAAATGCCAATTTGTTAACTCTCCCCTTTCCTCTGGAATACTATTGTTCATGAGAAAGTAACGCCTTGAGCTGAAGGTGGAACTGTGCGCTTTCCGCTTGCATCTGGCTTTGTTCCTGTGACTGTTAGTCACATCCGTTGTGCTGTTTCCATATCCGCGAAGGGGTCCGGACCATGCAGTGCTAAAGCCCTGGCCCGAGATGTCCTGAAGGTGCTTTCAACAGCTTTGTGGGCTGATTTGAGCTGAAGAAAAGGTCCAGCTGTGTTTTAACGTGTGGGTGAAGCTTGGTAAATAAGTAACTGGTACTAATTAGTACTCACATGCTGCCCTTTACTACAGATGAGCTGTTTGAGGCAGAGTTCCAGCCAGTGTTCCTGTGTGTGTAGTTAATGTGGTTACTAATGCCTGAGTTTAACACCCTGAGCATCAATGCTGTAAAACCTTGTCTGTGTGTCCACATGTGCAGAATGAAATAAAGCGTGTGGAAGATGCCTGTGCTCCTGGAATCTGTCCGCCGAAAGCCGGGCCCTCGGTGCGCTGTCTGTGAGACCAGGCTGGGTCTCCCTGTGGGTTGGTGCAGGGGGCTTGCACAAGGACAGGGATTTCTCAGGTGCAGGCACCCCAGTGTCCCACCCCACCTGTCCCCTGGCTGGCGGGGCCCCTGCAAGCTGGGCCCCCCTCCCCCATCTCCTGCAGAGCTGTCTTCCTGAGGATGTGCACCCTGTCTGTGGCCTGGTGATGCTGGCATGGCCTCGGAGGGACACACTTTCGACCCTGAGGGCCCAGCCAGGGGGCTCCCTGTGCTCCCTGGGTTAGGGGAGTGCTGGGTACCAACGACAGGAGGGGGCGGCACCCTGGTTTCTCTCATCTTGGCACCATGGTGGCGGGACTCTGGCCGCGGGGCTCTGGCCCAGGCGGTGTGCAGGGTCGGGGGCTCAGCCACGGGTGAGCGGCTGCCAGAGGAGGAGGGTGCAGTCACAGGCTGCTCTGTGAGGCTGGGCTGGCTGAGGCCTGTGCTGTCTGCCCGGCCTGTGGCCTTGGGCACGGTGTCCCCAGCAGCCAGCTCTGCAAGATGTCAAGACCTGTAAAACACAGGACACGTTACACCTCAGGCTGCTATACCCTTCCTGGCCAGTGTCGGGAAGCACCCCTGAGCACCAGCTCTGGGTTTCGGGGGTCCTATGCTACATGGCCTGGTGCACAGCAAGTGGGGAACAACAGAACGGGCTTGGCAGCCACGCAGAGGTGGCCTGGCAGCGGCCACCAGCAGAGCCTGGCACAGCTGAGGCTTGGTTTTGCTGCAGGTGGGTCCCCTGGCTAGGTATCCACCCCAGCAGGCCAGAGACCTGCTCCACTCCAGGGGACTGTGCAGCCAGCCAGGAAGGGGTGCTGCCAGGGTCCTCTCCCGGGGAAGGAGTGAGGTGGGTCCCAGAGAGGGGCCAAGCTGTGACAGGTTCCTCCACATGTGCACACCTGCAGCCTGCACCCCCAAGGAGCCTGGTGTCTGGAGCAGCGAGGTTTCCTGGGCGCAACAGGCGGTAACTCCCTTGGCCACTGCAGTGGGTGCTCCGGGGCTGGCGGGAGGAGCAGAGGTCAGGTCTGGAGTGCCGCAGGCTCCACACCTGCTAAGCCCAGTGGCTGGGTCCACTGCCGTCCCAGGAATCTGTTAGGACACAGGAGGGACCAGCTGGCCACTGCCAGGGCGCGGGGACCCCAGACCCGCCTGGTCTGTGCGTTGCTGGAGCCCTGGGGAGGATGACACGGAGGCGCTGCTGAGTGGCCGGGAGTGGCCTGCTGTGCCCCATGGCCCAGGGCGGGGCTGAACAACAGGCTCCCTGTGGCGCCCATCTCTGCTCCCTCCAGAAATCACAGTTCTAGGTTACTCTCAGGTCCCCTCCAAGTCGGGGTCTGTCCCATCTTCTCCTTGGCCCCTCAGGACCCGTACCCTTGGAGGTCCCTGCAAGGAGCAGTTTCAGGGACATCTGTGACCCAAACTCTGCTCCGCTGGGCTCCCGGGAGTGAGGGCCCTGCAGCGTTGCTGATCCGACCCAGCCTTTGGCCGGCGCTGGCGTCCCCCTCAGACCGCTGCCTCTCCTGGGAGTGTTGTTAAAGGCACCCAACGCTGCTGTCGTCCTTCCTCTCCTACGAGTGCCAGTATGCGGGACCTCCCCTGTCTCAGTGCTTCCCCTGCCCAGGGCTAGGGTTGTGATAATACATTGGAGTGGTTTTCTTGGCAACCTTTCAACTGAAGGTGACGCCGGAGAACATGGGGCTTTTGGACAGGGGAGCTGAGCCTCTGACAGCGGCGCGAGTGGAAGATGTGGAAGCAGCTGCCGAGGTCCAGTGTGTTGCTGGGTGAGGAGGGCGGGTTTGTAACTCTTAAGCAGGAAATGGAGCCTCTGTGCGGAGGAGACCAGGAGCCATGGCCATCCCTGCAGGAGCCAGCGCCCTGCGGTCTGTGCAGCCGCCGCTGCAGGGGGCACCCAAGGAAGCTCTGTTGGCCTCAGGGCCGCCGCCCACCTGGGGCATGCGCCTCTCAGTCTGGGGGAGGCCCAGCTCCAGCCTTGGGGTGAGCGGGACAGCAGGGACTGTGTGGTTCTGCGGGTCAAAGATGCGGGCCTGGGGCTGTGCTGAGATCACGGACACGGCCGCCCCTCTGAACAGCTCTGTGGTGTCAGGTGGTTCTGCGACTCGCTCTGGAATGGAAAGCAGAGGTGAAAGCAGCGCTCGAAAAAGGACCCGGGGTGACCCAGCGGGTGCTGAGCATGGTGAGGAGAAGCCGGCCCCGCAGCTCTCTTGCCTTCCTGTGTCTCGTCTTCTCTGTGATTTCGCACACAAGACAACGCCCAGCTGAAAACGGGCAGCCTGAGGCCCACGGCCGCTGCACACCCCAGTCCCGGGTGCACATCGGTCGGTGTGGGGCGCTGTGCTGCCACCCCCCCTGTGTGCCTGTCTCCCGAGCATCATTCTGACCCACCCCGTTCTGTGCCCGCAAACGCAGAAGCCTCAGCAAGGATGAGGTGGGGTGGCCGTGGGCCCTGTGCGGGTTGACAGGGACAAGCCGGCCAAGGAGGGGCATGTGGGGGACGCGGCACGCAGGCGCAGGACATGGCGGTCCCTGTCAGGCTTGGTGCCTGTGGTCAGGGGCTGGGAGGGGCGTGTCATGGCATTCACTTCAGGTCGAAACCCAGCATGCTGTGGTGCACAAGCCAGAGATTCTGCCTTAGACAGTTTCAGGTGTGCAGGAGACTTGGGGGACAAAGATTTCTCTGCTTGTCCCAGCTGCCGGCACTAGCGTCCACAGAGGGGACCTCACGGGGCCGTGGGCCCAAGGCGCATGGGCGTCAGCCACGGCCACGGTGCTGCCTGAGCGTGGACAGATGTGTCGGCCCCTGAGCTCTGCCACAGCTGGAGGAACAGCAAGGACCTCGTGGTGGCGACAGGCCGGGGTCACCGGAGCTCTGGCTGTGCCCAGGGCCTCCCCGCAGTGAGCCTGCAGGGGCGCCCCGTGGGTTTCAGGGACGTTGCTGGGGTCTTGGCTCCGAGCCGCCTGGCAGCACCTGGTGCCACTGTTGCCCCTGCACGCCTGAGCACCTGCCCCTCCCCCCGAGGCAGTGCTGCCCCCACCCAGGCTGTGCCTCTGTGCCTCAGCTCTGTTCCCAGCTCTGCAGGGAACTGCGGCCTGCGAGCTGCTGCTCAGCTTCTCTACTGGGTTTCATTTTATTTTATTTTTTTTGGTGCTGGGAATCGAACTCATGACCTCATGCCTGCTGGCAGGTGCTGTGCTGCTGAGCTATATCCTGGCCCCTCTGCTGGCTTTTCATAGCTTCTGGTAGTTTCAGGAATACCACTTTGCTTGTCTTAGAGACTGTCAGCGTTTCCCTCGCCTACCAGTTAGATCTTTCATGGCGTGGTGGTCTTGGACGCCAGGGTTCAATCCATTTTCCCTGACAGTTCCTTATTTGGGGAGTAATTTTAAACAGTTTAACAGTGGGCGTGTTTCCTGTCTGCCAGCAGTGGTGTATAACATATAAACGCTCTCATCTCTTATTGCCAGGTTTTCTTTCTTGTTTTTTTTTTTTTTTTTTTCTTTTTTCAATACAGAGGATTCACCCTCGGGCCTTTGCACTCTGCTACCTCTCTAGCTCTTCCTAACTTTTTCCTTTGAGACTCACTTGATCACTAACCAAGCCCAAGATGGGCTTGAATTAGTGATCTTCCTGCCTCAGCCTTCCAGAATGCTGGGATTACAGGCCTGTGCCACCAGGACAGACTGCCAAGTCTGCTCATAAAAGGAAGTGCTATACTTTATATAAGAAACTTTTCTGAACATGTTCCTTTAATCTGCACAGCTGCATAAACCTGTGCTCCAGTCAGCTACGGAAAAACCTGACCAAACCTGAGCCACACAGGACAGTGAACCAGATGGGCACTGGCAGCTAGAGCAAGCGTACTGGGGTCCCCAGGTAGTCACGTCAGACCTGGGGCAGCAGACGGGAGGGTGCTGGAGGAGGACTGCATGAGCCTTGCATTGCAGGGCATTACCTTTCCTACGCTTTCACCTGGCCGTAAGAAAGTAGCACCAAACACAGGCACCAGGGAAGGAGCCACGGCGGGGGACAAGCAGCACGGGGGAGACCTCACGGTCACAGGTAGGGGCTGCTTCCACATCCCTGGGAGAAACGTCACTGGGACACTAGCATGGACAGCAGACAGCAAGTGTGAGGGTCACACACACAAGCATAGGATGTCCTCCTGAGGGACAGGGCAGAGGCCAAGCCTGGAAGATGACCTCAGTTTTCACACTCAGGAGCGAGCATCGCTGTAAAGGTAGGGTGAAGTATGAACCACCATCGAAAACGAGATTTCACACAAAATTCTATGCATTTCAGGACTTGGCAGGTATCACGATGCAACTTTCTCAAGCACGTGGGGTCTGTGGGGAGAATTCTCATGATGACTGTCAGATCCGGGACAGAACCTGCCTGCACACAGATTATGAGAGAGCTCCCAGCTCTGACACATCTGCCCCACCCATCACTTCCTGGGCGTGTGTGTGTGTGTTTTCAGTACTGGACTTTGAACCCTTCATACTGAGCTACATCCCCAGCTGTTATTTTTATTTTGAGACAAGGTCTTGCTAAGTCCCTAAGTTTTTTAGGCTGTGCTCAAACTTATGATCCTCTTGCCTCAGCCTCTCAGAGAGCTGGGATTACAGGCAGGCACCACCATAGCTCATACGTTCTTAAAAAGACAGCTGTCTGTCTCGCTCATAGCAACAGCTGGGTGCACGTGTGAGCTTCCTGACCGCGGGGAAATTAGGGAGCCCAGTTGCTTAGAAATCTTAGAGACCAGTGAGGAAATTTCAAACCCCTTTGTTTTGCTGCAGATTTGATGTTAACCACGGTAGTTCAGCCTTAAGACGTTTTCTGTTTCCACGTCATAATTCGGAAACTCCCTAACACTCAGGGCAGTGATGGTCCTTCTGAGTGATCAAAGGGCAAAGACCAACACGGGAACTGCGGCGTGGCACCCGGCCATCTCAGGACCACATGTTTGTGACTTCGCTGTGCCGGGCACAGCCCTGGCGTGCCTAGACCTCGGGGGTCCCGGACAGCTGACACCTCCAGAATGCAGCGCCGGCTACTGGTTCAAGCCTGTGCAGTAAGAACATGCTCCTCTCTCCGGGGTCTCGCCGGGTCCCCGCCCACTACACAGCCACTGTGGCTCAGAGGTGCCTCCCTTAGAACAGGCAGTGACTGTGACGTGGACCGCGAGCTTCATCTACCAAGTGCCTTTCCTGCGGTGTGCAATGTGAGCAACGCCTGCGTGGCGGCCCCTGCACCTGCACCTGGCCCTCGTGCACAGCCACCCACCCCAAGGCCACCTGGAGTGGCCTGGTGGCCGCGCGCCCTCTTTTCTTCCTGTGCCTTTTCTGCCCTCCAGTCCCTTTGTCAGGGATTTTGTCCCCAGGCCTTTGCCTCTCCAGCCCTGCTCCCTCTGTCTTGCTGCTCACAGATCGCCCTCTGTCCACCCGGGAGCCAAGCCCGGGGCAGAGAGGCCCATTGTCCTGTGCTGGCTGGGGACGGCCGGGCGGCCACCGCACACAAGTGCCCTTTCTATGCGCCGTGCACTTCCTGTTGCTGGCGGCGGCAGCATCTGGGAGCAGAGCAGAGACACCCATGACCTCTGCCCCGTGGAGAGGTCGCAAGTGAGGCATGGAGAGAAGGTGCTGGCCTGTCCAGCCCCTGGCTTCCTTGGACGTCAAGCTGCGGCTGAGCCGAAGGTCACAGCGTTGTGGTCCCCTTCTCTGACCTCAGTGGGGACCGGCTGTCTGTCCTTCCCTCAGCCGCCCTGTCGTGGCCTCATCTCCATCCCGCTGCCCCTGCTGGTCTCTGGCTCTGTCTTATTTCTGTTGCAAAGGCTTTTTCAAGCCTCATTCAAGTACCGTCTGTCAAGGTCTGGACTCCGGGGAAGGACGGGTACAGAGAAGTGCTGGGAATCCGACCTCAGCCTCCTGCTGGGCTCTGACCGAGGCAGGGAGCAGAGAGGAGCAAAGTGTCTCGTGGGTCAGACATGAAAGCCATCCCATCCCGGAGTCTGCGGTGAGGACCGGACCTAGGCCGGGGCAGGCGGGTGCGGGGGGCGATCCCCTTCACTGCAGGTGCCAGGCCGGGTGGGGGCCAGGCTGGGAATGTGGACAGGGTCGGCCTTGGAAAACTAGTGGCCCTGGGGAGGCCCGGCAGGAGGGGGACACAGCCAGGAGGGGTGGCTGGGGCCCTGGTGGAAGCAGGGGACCCCAGCCGGTCCTCCCCACTTGACATATGTCTGGCTGATCTCGCTGTGGCCTTTTCCTGCCCGAGGTGAGACCAAGGTGGACACCAGGTCCAGGCCCATGTCCCTGTCCTCAGGGGGTGGGGCCTCACTGGGCCCTGCAGGAGCTCGGTGTGGGACCAGAGGAGGGGCCTTGGGGCCCTCATGTACCCGAGAGGGCTGTGCGTGGCTTCTGTCACCTGGAGTCAGAGGCGTGAGGCTGGGGCTGTCTGCCTCTGCCCCCCGTGGCTATACTGGGCCTGGCCACCTCCTGCTCTGGGTCTCAGCCCTGACTCAGAGTCCAGCTGTTCTGTCTGGGTCTCTTGAGGGTCTGGCACTGTGGCCTGTGCCCAGCTCCTCAGTCTGCTGGGCCTGTCCCTCCTGTACACCCGCCCCTCCAGGGCCCTGCCCTGCCTGGCTGGCACGTTCTGTGCCTGGCCTGTGCCCAGGGTCCCCTGACCTCCTTCTGCTCCACCTTCTCTCTTGCTGGCCACACCTGGGCCCCTCAGCGGCCTCCTCGGTCTGTGCCTGGAAGCAGAGCCAGGAAACCAGGAGTAGTGGGTTCCCCTGGGTCGCTGAGAGGCGCTCCTGGGCCCCAGGTGTGGCCAGTAGCCTCACCAGTGCCCACACTGAGTCCTGAAGGGCGCCCCTGGGCCCTCAAGCGCTGCTAAGCCCTGCCCTTCGCAGCCTGGCCGCCCTGCACTGGGCCCCTCCTGATGGATCAGGGTGGGACTGAACTGCACCGCAGGCGTTTCCACTGTGGGAACATTACCCTGGTGCCCCGCAGAGTCCTCCCCTCGCTTCCAGCACACCCGTCCCAGTGCCTCGCCACCTTCCGGAGCAGTTCTGCAGTCCTCTTGCTGCAGGGTCTTTATGAGGTGGGATCAAAAGTATGAACGCTGCTGCCCAGCACCGCCAGTGAGAAAACTGCTCGTGAAACATCCCGCTGCGTCCTCGTCCCGTGTCCGCCAGACCTGGCACTTTGGGACTTCCGGCTCTGCCTCAAAGTCAGAATGACCACGAAGGGCCAACATCCGGGGCAGCTCAGGACAGCGAGGCAGCCGGGACAGCACAGCTAACCACCCTCAGGAAAGAGGGCTCCGAGCTGCTGGAGTGGTGAGGAGGAAGGGATGAGTTATTCCCAGCGTGTGGGGGGCGTCTGAGGGGGTTCATGGCTGTGTGTCTCCTAGTGTAATGAAATTTAAAAATTTTAAGCACGTTTCTGATCACGGTTTGTAAGCCACAGGTTCAGTGGTGAGGGTCGTGGACCACACTCTGCTTACCCCAGGGTACTCTCTGCTCCTGTGGGAAGCACTGCAGCCTGCTCCATCTGTGATTCCTGGGCCTTGTTCCCAGCAGGAGGCCGCACTGCAGATCAGCCCACGCATGGGCTTGGCGCCAGGCCCGCTGTTGGAGGGCGGCAGCAGCAGCCGGGCTGTCCGGTGGGCACTGCGGGCCCTATCTCGCCCGCGTGGGCGGAGCAGGGCTGCTGGAGCCCGGGCAGCGTCTGTGCCGGCATCTGCAGGGGACAAGGCGGAGGGACGGCACTGCCCGCGCAGCACCAGGCCGGGAGTGCCGGGAGGGCGTGGAGCTCCGCGGCTCCCCAGAGCCTCGCATTACCAGGATGCGTAGTTTCCCTGTTCAAACGCAGGACAGGGTCCTCGGCTCACTGCCCCGGCCACGCACGGCAGTGGGACGCCAGCCGGACGCCAGCCACAGGGCCACCGCTGCTGTGCCCTGTCTCGGGCCAGGTCTCCAGCCTGCGGCGTGACCGCACGGCCCAGGAATCAGGCTGCGCACAGCCGCGCCTCCCGGTCCACCGCACCAGCGGGGAGCACGCGGCCGCCCGCGGGGCTGCACGGGGCCGCGCCATCGCCCCCTCTCGCTC